TGTGGAGTTCCTCCATGTGATAAGGGTAGGGGTAGACTTTCTGTCCTATCCATTTGCTTTCTCGGTGGCCCTGCGGGTTACGGTGTCGATACGTTAACCATCCGCCCCTTACTTGCCTCCCTGTCACTGGCGCACCCACCTAGAGTAATATCCTAAAAATGAACGAACATTTGCTTTAAGTAAATAAAGGTAGGTTAACGTAAGCCAGTTAGTATCGTTACAGAAATACTTCAGTTACGTCGATCGGACCAGGGTGGCCAACTGAGAACTCCTGGGTAGCTCCAACAATGGTAGGAGTGTGATCCATCTCCACGTCAGGCTCGCTGCTTTCGGCGGGTTCTTCACAATTTTTCGGATCCTCGTCCATCTTCTGCTCCTCCCCTGCCTTCAGCTCCTCCCCTGTCTTCGGATCCTCATCCTTGTCCGTATCCTCCTCATTACGCCCACTCGGATCACGTCCGCCCGAAGAACCATCCTGATCTGGCCCACCGACCCTTCTTTCAGATTTATTATGGCCCTTCGACATAACCTACGTAATAAAAATTATAAACATACGGATGTGAACAAGAAATTCAGATAATATAATAACTCTTACCTTTGTTAGCCTCTTCATATACTTCTTTATGTCCTTTAGGTCAGTCGTCATGCTCGTCAGTGTTATCTCAATGGCCGTCACTCTGTCGTCGAGCCTCCGCAGTTCCCGACTCCACTTATGCTTCTTCTTCTTCGTCCCTTTCTGTGGAAACAATTGATCTTGTCCTCCATCGTTTCCTATAATATCTTCTGTTGCATGATCAACCACTGGCGAAGCATCCTCACCAATAATATCTTCTGCTACATCATCGAGCTCAATTGGATCCCCAACCTCTCCAGTAACGGGAGACTTCTGAGCAGTGGAAGTAGAAGCCAGTGGTTCTGTAGCAAGTTCTGTGGGTGCAAGAGGTCCGACAGGGGCCACCGGTGGATGCATAACGCGAGCCATGTGCTGTCGTTCGACATCAGTTGACGGCAAACGAACTACAACCTTCGGCTGTATAACACAAATAGTTAGGTCAATTTTAATATTAAATACTAAAAACAATAAGAAAATTTTGGGACTTACCTTGGGATTCTTGAAGACCTCTCGCTCCAAAACATTAAAAGCACGCGAATAGGTGCAGGACCATCTAAGTAGACGAGGAATAGCATCGTCATTTAGCCTCAATGCTA